CTACAGCAGGTCCTACCTTCCGGATAAAAGTCATAGTGTCATAGAATTGTACAGCATGGAAACAGACCCTTCAGTCCATGTCGACCAGATATCCTAAATTAATCCAGTCCTATTTGCTAGCATTTGGCCCATATCCCTCTAAACCCTTCCTATTCACATACCCATCTAAGATGCCTTTTAAATGTTGTAATTGTACCAGCCTCCACCGCTTCCTCTGGCAGCTCATTCCACTCATGCATCACCCTCTGCGTGAAAAAGTTGCCCCTTAGCTCCCTTTTATATCTATGTCCTCTGACCTTAAACCTATGTCCACTAATTTTGGATTCCCTTACCGTGGGAATAAAAGACCTTCACTATCCATCCTATCCATGCCCCTCACAATTTTACAAACCTCCATAAGGTCACCCCTCAGCCTCCGATGCCCAGGGAAAATAGCCCCAGCTATTCAGCCTCTCCCTATAGCTCAAATTCTCCAACCCCGACAACATCCTTGTAAATCTTTTCTGCACCCTTTCAAGTTTCACAACATCTTTCCTATAAGAGGCTTGATTTGTTCTCTCGCATGAAAATATTTCAAAAAGAAATGGAAGAGCTCTACCTGGTGTGCTGGCCAATACTTGCTCCTCAACTAAAACAGATTATCTGATCATCATGATAACATGGCTGTTGTTGTGGGCATTTTCTGTGTGCAAATGGACTGTATTTCTTCCATTAGAACAGGGATTATGCTTCAAACATGCTTTGTTGACTATGTAATTCTTTGGCATATCTAAAGGTTGAGAAAAACATTGCAAAATTGGAATCCTTTCTTTTCTTGCCTGTGGTCATCAGCTTTTTCCTGCTATTCCTCTGTATGTAAGCCTGAAGAATGGATAAATCTATGTTGAAAAAAATCAGTATTGCTGAGGAGATCTATTACAAACAATCAGAACAGTTTGTACAGCTGCAGGCTAACCATCCTTTTGGGAATGTTGTTCCCACAATGGTGTTGAGTTGGAAATTCAAGGATTTTAACCCAGTGGCAATGAAGGAACAGTTCACACAAGGACAGTGCCTGGCTTGGTAGGGTCCTGGAGCTGATTGTTTATCTATTGTGTCACTGTTTTTGTGCTTCTTGGTGACTGGGAGATGAGGTGGGTTTGATTGAACTGCACATGTTTCTGTAGATACTATGGTGCTGGTGGTGGAGAGTGGAACAATGCAGCCAATGATTGCAAATTTTTCTGTCCTGAGCAATATTAAGACCTTAATACATGAGCTGCACTGATGTAGACGAGGGACGAGTGTTCCTTTGCAATCTTAACCTGTGGCTGGTGGCAAAGCTTTGGGGAAATGGCCCATTTGTTTGCATTATAACCTGGCCTTCTCTTTTTGTCAGGGTGTTCATGTGAGGTTGGTCCAGCTCAGCTTCTGGTCAATACTGGTCCCCCACCATGATGCCACATGGGTTTTCCTGTAGGGCAGTTGCGGGATGGATGGCTTGGGCAAGTGAAGGTCAGGGGAGGGGGCTGGTTCTCTTTTTCATAATGGTCAGTTTCCAAACATTATGTGACGTGAATCCCACTTACTAGTCAGGTGTTTTCTAGGACTTGGTTAAGGATGGTATAGACTGTTTCCTGGTCAAAAATATTGAAATGGTCATTGGGTGTGCTTTTTAAACTCTCTCCTGACAAAATAAAATGATGGAGTTCCTAGCTATTCATTGGTAAGTGAGTGACTCACATTTAGAAGAAATTACTAACCTTGAGCTACATTAAGCCACAGTTTCTGATGCAGGTGAGGGCTGAAGCTAGCCAATGAGAATTTCCAATTGAAGCACACAGGGACCGTGTCTTCTTTCTATGGCCAATGCGAGGGTAAATAGAAATGGTTCCCAGTTCTTTCTGTACACTAAAATGACTGATTGTTGGATGAAAATATATTGCCTTTGGTTTGGTAAAGGAAGGAATGATAGTTGTGAAGAAGATAGCGAGCTATGGCAGCAGAGATGAAAAACCCAAAAAGAAAATTGTCATTCAACCAAAAAATCCCAAAGAACTGTGGATGCTGGAAATCAGAAACAAAAACAGAAATTGCTGGAAAAGCTCAGCTGATCTGGCAGCATCTGTGGAGAGAAAGCAGAGTTAACGTTTTGAATCCAGTGACACTTCTTCAGAAAAATGTCATTGCCGATTATGGACAGCTGCCCAAATTTTATTTGCACATTGAATTGTACAACTTAAATAAAATAGCTATTTCTTCTTTTGAAAAAACGAATTAGGGTTGAAAGGACACTCTTCATCTCCCATAGTGTGGTAATGGTTTTGAACTCCAACCTTTCTGGATGGATAAGAGAAGAATTGATCAGGTGGCCAAAACTGGCTTCAAATAACAAATCTTATTAACTTAAGAACCGTAGTGGGGTGGACCAGGCTAACTGCAAACCAACAGCTTGATAACAAAGAAATAAACAACCTGAGCAACCAGTCACTCCAGATACTCAGGTTGGAGAAGGAGATAGAAACTGTCTGATTCGTCTTCACCAAGAACAGATTCACCATCATGTAAAAGTGGCGACATCTTTGTCTGGAAACCCAGAGCCAGAACCTTCTGGGGCCATGTGATATCGTTACCTTCCAGGATTAAAATTTGGTCAGATGTTGCATTTTTGCTCATAACCTGAGTGCATGTTTTGTTTCTGGAATCCATCTTTACTTGGATGCGTGTCAACGTTTCTGAGGGAGTATGTTTTCAGTTTCAGCATATTGTGAGAATAAGTATTACCCTTCCTTTTGAAATGAACTTAGCAAAAGCCTGCTTTGTGGTGATTATTGAAAAGAAGATTTGATCACTCCCTGATCCACAAGCATGCTATTCAGTCCTTTCATTGTTTTGTTTCATGAGTAACAACAGAGCATCCTAATCAATGAAAAAATAAATTGATAGGTTCAGGACAAATAGCAATTCAGTTGCTTCAGTCATTTCTAACATTATCCAAGCCTGCATGTTTGTATCTTATGGTAATTCGGTTTTTTTTAAATTCCCTTATTTGTTTGTCCTTCAATTATTATGTATCTGTCCTTGCATTTCAATGCTTCATGAAATGATTTGATCTATTCCCTATTTCTTGACAGAAGGAGAAAGAGATAGAAAGTTTGTTTCTAGTCTGTATGTGTGCTCGCAGACCAAGAATTGATGTTCCTTCTCATTTTCCCCTCCTCCAAGAGGTACTTCCCCTAAAAGCTGCACCTGAGCTGGGGAATCACTGGTTTGAACCACAGTGCTTCAGATTCACTCATACAGGCATTTAGAACAGGTGTTGCAGAACTTTCTTCTTCCAACTGCTGTGTCTAAATATGTGGCAATGACTAAATTTCATCTACGGTGCAAGTATATTTCACAAGAGGAAGATTTCAGCAATCCGATTGGGAGGCACTTACAGTTTGTATTAGTCAATACATACTGTCACGTTTGGGTTCTGAAGATTGAACAGATAACACAGGAACCAGTTGCATTCACACGGAAGTGTGGATATTCACGGTTTGTTTCTGAAGGGACACAGTTTGTGTGTTTCCGTGAGAGTGAGAAGATGATCTACTTATTTTAATCTGGTTTTGTAGTTACCCCACACTGCCACAGTGAACCTTCTTCAATCAGGGAGATGGCCAAAGAATATCCAGTGCCATTACAAAGTTAGCTCTTGCAGAAAAGGGGATAATTGTTGCATCTTGCTGTTAGAAAACATTTTTTTTCCATTATTATTCAAAATGAGATCAAACTCACATAGCTGCGTGGAGGTGACATGGTGCTGCACAAACGCAATCTAACGTGATGTAGCTGAACTGCAGTGAAGTCCACAAGGAAAGGCATGTTTCAAAATGAGAAGCAAGGCTGCCTGGAAATGGCTATTTGCAGTACCTGTCTCATTTATAATGTATTTTGTATTTAAGAGGCAGGTTCTTTCTTTGGAGACGGAGCACGCAGTGTCCACCAATGCGCTTGAGCTTTCAGAGAGGGGTGGGCACTGTGGGGCTGGAGTGCATTATCTCCTCCTCCAACTTCATTATGACCTAGTCCCTCCCTTGGTTCTTGCCCTTGTTGGATTTCTGTTATTGGTACTCTGTCCCTGGTGAGCAGTGTTGGTAATTTGGACAGTTGGGTGACTGGGCAGTTTGATAATGGGTGCTTAAAATTAAAGAAGATCTGAGTTCTGAATTTGGAAAGTTATTAAATTGGCGTTGGATTTATTTTATGAGAAAAAAAGTTAAGTTCTTCAGGGTTTAGCACTGGTAACAAACCAGTTGCTACCAGTTGGCCCGTTTGACCCCTCCCACTGGCTTTGTCCCAGAAATTGAGAAGATGTTGGTTGTTTTCTTCTGGCACAAGGATGACTGCAGAGGTGACAGAGTGTCCCCATGAAGGAGGATAGATAGTCACTGCGCCATTGCATTGAGGAGGCAACTTTCTCCCTTCCTGCAGCAATACATTTATGTCATACCTCATTTTGGATGTGGTGCTCTGGCAATGGCATTCCTTTTGCCAGCTTCACTGCCTGAATTAAGACACGCAGCTGCTTTGTATAGCCAGTAAGTTTGTGGGTGAGGGGTGGTTTCCGCAAGGGAAGCCCTCAAGCACTGCCTGTCTTTTACCAGGACTTTATCGAAGTATGAAATGTTGTTGACTTTTGTTGCATCTTCTCACCATCATAAGTAGCAACTACCTTCACACAGCCACCATTTTCAAGGGTTTGAGTGTCTGGTGGAAGGGCGACCTGTGGCTGTGAGGGTGACCGGAGTCAGGGATGGGCTGGGTGTTGGTGGACTGGTCTAGATGTCACCACAGAAGTGGGTGGATTGTGCAGTGATGGACCAAGCTTGGAGCTGACATACTCCATAAACTGAGAACACTGGTGCTTGTACAGGTTGGAAGACCCTGAGGTGTGCGGTAGTCACCTGTCAGCATGTACCCCCTCCATATCCAGCTTGGAGGGAGTTCCACTTCAGCCCTGGGTTCAGAAGTCTTCATCAGCAGCCTGCACCCCACAGTCTGATGCACAACATGGGAAATCTGTTGCTGTCCTTCCGTGGAGTTTAAGAAGTTTCCTGTATGGGCTGCAGCTGCACACCATCCAGTCCATTTCTTCTCCTTTATCCACTGCCTGGACTTGCCTTTTCTGCCACTGGGCAGGGGGCCCAGTGGGGAGGTCACTATGTTGATGTCCTCTCACTTGCCACTGGGAACTGGGGTGGAGGGTGTTTCCTGCAACAGCCCTGTATAATCATTGAATAAGGTGCTTTTTGCGCTCCAAAGGCCAACTGTTTGTTTCACAATGTTGTGGAGTCCATGTATCATGTGAGTTTAGGTTGTCACATCACCTGCTTAGTTCTCTTAACGATGTTTTGTTGTTCTTTTTCACACTTCATTCCAATACTCCTGATCTTTGGGCACCCAGTGTGGAAAGGGGTGTTCATGAGCAGGTCGAAGGACTTCCTGGTGGCCCTGCACCTGGACCTGGCTAAAGTGGTCATCAATAGGCCCAGGCAGTAGGTCATGGATCGGGTTATGTTTCATGACTGTGTGTCCTCTACTGCAGTAACGTCAATGCCTCTGTGTCCTCGGACACAGTGCATGTCATGTATGCTGGTAACCTCAGAGTTCGTAGAGATCAGGATTTAAGGGGACTGGAGTGCATTATCTCCCCTTCTGACACCATTTCAATCTTGTTCCTTACCTTGTTTTTTCCCCTTTTGGTTTTGATATTTTTGTCCACACTGCCCCTGATGGGCAGGGTTGGTTGTTTGTCAGTTGGGTAATTTGGCGCTGGATTTCTTGATTAATAAAGAGATGAGTTCTTCCCCAGTGGTGGGACAGAATTGGACTTCTAGCCACAAGAAGTATTTGGCAAAGGTGTAAACACATGTTTTTGTTGGACATTAGATTTTCAATAAAACGCTTATAGATTTCTGAAAGTCTTTTGCTGCTTATTTTGACATATTGATATTTTTGCATAAAAAATTTGCCCTTGAAGTTGTTAGTTAGCTCGCTGACCCATTTGTTGTGTGGTATGCAGATGTTTTGTTACCCTTCTGGGCAACATCATCAGTGCAACCTCCATTCGAAGCGTTGGTGTTCTGCTTCCTTCAGGATTTATATGATCCTCTGGTGTGATGGTTTTGTTGCTTCGGGTTCTGTTGTTTGAGCGGTGGTTTGTATATGGAGTCTACTTCTGTGTGTTTGTTAATGGAGTCCCGTGTTGAGAACCAGACTTCCAGAAATTCCCTTGCATGGTCTGTTGTTCACTTGTCCCAGTATGGTCACTTTGCCCCAGTTGAACTGATGGCCCTCATTGTACGTGTATTGAGACAAGTGAATATTGGTTGTGTCTTTTTACTGCCAGTTAGTGTTCATGTATTGTGGTCGTCAGTTTTCTCCCTGTTTGTCCAATGGAATATTTGTTGCACTCGCTGCATGGTATTCTGTATATCACGTTGGTATTTTTTGCTGTCAGTATGGGGTTATGGACAAGCGAACATCAGACATGCAAGGGAATTTCTGGAAACCTGGCTCTCAACACGGGACTCCATTAACAAATACATAGAAATAGACCCTGTATACAGACCGCTGCTAAAACAACAGAACTGGAAGTGTCAAGACCATCACACCAGAGGGTCAATATAAATCTGTAAGGAAGCAGAGCACCAAGGTTTTCATTAGAGGTTGCACTGATGTTGCCTCGAAGGGTAACAAAATGTCTGCATTACCACGGAACAACCTGCTTGGTGAGCTAACAAACAACTGTATCCACAATTTGATCTACAAATTTTCGCTAAGACCTTAAAAATCTGATCTTTAAGTTCAGGTCATCACAAGTCAGCTTGCAGTCGAGACTCTTCTGACTAATTATTCCATGTCTCTAATTACACAAGGAAACACTTCCAGATATATTCCAATAATCCAACCTAATGATCCAAATAAATTAATTCAAAACTCACCATGGGATTTGAGATTTAAAGGCAACAGCACTGGGTTCAGTGCCTTTGAGTACAGCAAAGACAGTTTGGGTTCCCATCCAGTTCTGTGTTGCTTCACATTTTACAAACAAGGTCTCAATTGGCTGCTAATGAGCATGTCATTATAGCCTACCAAGAATTTCTCAGAAAAGAAGGAGCAAGAAAGCAGTCAGAGAACAGGGGAAGATTAAAATCTAAGATTGATATGAAGCATGAATTATGCTTTGTAATTGATATGAGGCAATAGCTGCAACTTATGAAATGCATTAGGCAAGCCTCAGTTCTATACATGCACCTCCATGAAGGGAATGAACTCCAGGTATTGGATGTTTGCCTAATTCATGTAGAATTTTTACTCTGGTAATTTTGTGATAACACTTTGTGAGTCTGTAGTAATTGCACAGCACCTGCAGGAGAGCCAGTGCAAGTGCTGACATACGTTTTTAAACTCTATTCTGTCTCTCACACTAGCTGTTTCCTGCAGCCAGGATATGGCCTTCCTGAGGTAGGGTCTGACACCTCTTAACTTCCGTACATTCAGAAATTGGGTCAGTTTTGTTTGTAACTTTGCAATTGAAATGGTTTTACACTGACTGGGATATTCATAGTACACATATATGAATTAGGAGTAGGAGTGGGCCACTCAGCAGCTTAAGGCTGCTTCTTCAATTAAGTAGAGCACGGGCTGATAGGATGACTGCAAATTCCTGACCTACCCCTGATAACCTTTTGACCCCCTTGCTTATCAAGAATCTATCCACCTCTGTTTTAAAAATATTCAAAGATTCTCTTTTCAGCACTTTTTGAGGAAGAGTTCCAAAGATTCACAATGCTCAGTGATTAATAAAAAGAACTCCTCATCTCTTTCTCAAGTTGGAACCCCTTATTTTGAAATAGTGGGTCCTCATTCTAGATTCTCCCTTAAGAGGAAACATCCTTTTCACCCTGTCGAGATCCCATAGGATCTTCCTTGTCTGTTTCAATCAAGTTGCCTTTTAGTCTTCTAAACTCCAGCAGATGTGAGGTTTACCGCATCCCAAAACCAGTCCAGCTCGTCCCTGCCTCCCTAACCTGTTCTTCCTCCCACCTATCCCCTCCTCCCACCTCAAGCCGCACCTCCATCTCCTACCGACCAACCTCATCCCGCCCCCTTGACCTGTCCGTCCTCCCTGGACTGACCTATCCCCTTCCTAACACCCTACCTGCACTCACCTTTACTGGCTCCATCCTCGCCTCTTCAACCTGTTTGTTTCCTCTCCACCTATCCTCTCCTCTATCCCTCTTCTATCCGCCTCCCACTCTCTCCCTATTTATTTCAAAACCCCCTTCCCCTCCCCCTTTTCTGATGAAGGGTCTAGGCCCGAAACGTCAGCCTCTCTGCTCCTATGATGCTGCTTGGCCTGCTGTGTTCATCCAGCCCTGCACCTTGTTGTCCAGCAGATGTGAGCCGAGGGCAGTACGGTGCTCAGTGGTTAGCACTGCTGCCTCACAGCACCAGGGGCCTGGGTTCGATTTCACTCTTGGGTGACTGTCTGTGTGGAGTTTGCACATTCTCCCCGTGTTTGTGTGGGTTTCCTCCCCCTATCCAAAGACATGCAGGCTCGGTGGATTGGCCTTGCTAAATTGCCCATAGTGTTCAGGGATGTGTAGATTAGGTGGGTTATAGGGAGATGGGTCTGGTTGGGGTGCTCTGAGAGTCGGTGTGGACTTGTTAGGCCGAAGAGCCTGGTTCCACACTGTTAGGAGTCTAAGTCTAGCCTGTTTAACCTTACCTGAGAAGTCAAACCACTCTATTCCAGGTGTTAGTCTAGCAAACCTCTGAATTGCTTCCAACGTATTTGCATCCTTCCTTCAATAAAAAGACCAATACTGTATAGAGAATTCCACATGTGGTCTCACCAATGCCTTGTAACTGAAACGTAACCTCACTACTTTTGTATTCAATTTGCCTCACAATAAATAATATTTAGATTGCAAGTGTTAGTGGCTCACAGTTTGTGGCTATCACAGTGAACCACTTGCCACACTTTGCTCCAGCAACAGTGGGATTCCTCACATGGTTATGTGTTCAGAGTATATGGTTATGTTCAGAGCAACAGTACCTTGAAAATCTGTAAAAGAGCCAGTCATATGATGCATCAGTGAAACTCCCTGTGTACTTCTGCTGCAATGCCATAGGTAAACATATTGATCTCTTGCAATGGGGACTGAACCAAACCAAAAGCTGTGAATGCTGGAGATACTGCACTGGCTCATCTGTGTCTTAAAGAAGAGAAAGCCACAGAGTCATATGCTGTTTGTGCTGAGAAGCTTTCATTTGAAAATTGTCACAATTGTCAAAATGCTTCTGTCCTGTGGTGTTTGAGTTTCCTGCTCTTCTTGTAAGCAGGAATAAATCTTCAATATTTTGAACTGGAACCTCTGCAATGCTCCAGCAGAATTCTTGCGAAATTGGTGGAGATAAGAGGTGATGTGCTCCTGTGGTATGCTGAGAACAGCAGTCAATATTGATGTGGAAATCAAGGGCATGGGGCCTCTGATTTTCTGGTGCATTCTCTGAGCCCATTAATTCCAGGCTGAAGCTCTCTCTGACCATTGACCCACCTTTAACAGGCAAATCAGCTCAATTGTTGCTCGCCGTCTGTGCTCCCAATCACTCCCAAACATGCCAACTGTTATTGAGAAAAGTGGACGATCATTCAGAATGTATCTCACTTAACTTTTATTTGGTTTGTAGGTCAGTGAAGCTACTGCAAAGCAGAAACCAAAAGTCGAATTTTGTTTTGGTAAGTGTTGAATTTGACAGAAATGCTTAAATATTAACTCTGGATAGGTTTAGCCACTCTTGGAGTCTCTTACATCTAATTCCCGTGTAAAATTGGACATTGTATCTGGTAATTGCAAACCAATTAGGCGGTTTTATTCCTTCAAAGTTGATGCAAACTGAATAGTCTCCAGGTGCTCAAGCATGTCCGATGTATAGTGGGCCTGTGAGCAACAAGCTTAATGGACAGAAAAACTGAAATATCTCTTCCCCTTGAATAAGAAGCAATTCAGTTATTCCAGACAAGTCGTGCTGTCAACAGACACACTCAGCATTCACACCATCACTCTATGTTGTTCATCATTGAACTGTGGTTCTGATTCTGGTCAGGAACTATGGCGTAAAGGACATCCCCTGAGAATTAATTGACTTGGGGCCGTGTCAGTGGCTTGAAAATCCACTAACACCTTTTCCCTATATGTGGGACAGTCATCACACAGCCGCGCGTGATACAACAACATTTTGGAAGGTCCCTCTTCTACAGAAAGACCTATTGAACAACTTCTCCATTTCATGGGTGCTGTAGTGAGCATTGCACAGACGTCAGATCTGTTCAGCTTTCACCTGGTAACCACAAGCATTTGAATCCACCAGGCTTATTTTACCATTTCTGAGCTGCAGTGCTTGTTGTGTTTCAATCTTCAAGTCTTGTCACATGACAAGTACTTCTCTTGTTAAAAAGCGCATGTTCCAAATTGTGCCTGCTTTTGCTTGAAGCACTATTTCCATTTCATAAGAATGTTTTGGAAAGGGACAGCCTCCTGAGGTTTTAACTTTTTCAGACATACTTGCTGCAGTGACTGAGTTGAAACCCTAGTTTACCGTGTTTAGATTTCCATCCTCATCCAACGATATTACATTAATTTTTTTGGCTGGTGGCGATATGTTTCTCTGGGAATGGTTGTTTACCACAGCCCAGATTTTTTTGTTTGAAATGAAAGCCTCAATGCAACTCTGATCTGACATCATTACCTGAAACTGTTTTGCCTGGATCCTGTATTTTTAAAAGCTTTGCAGTGCTGGTAAATCGAATTGGACAAAAACATGAAAAAGCAGGCAGAGGTGCATAAACTCATTTGCCAGGCACAATTGGGGTTCTTTAAATAGTGCTGCCTCCTTCGTCTTGTCAACTCACTACTCACTCGTTCAGCCTGTCTGCACAATTTATGAAGGTGGGTGGGGTGAACTACTTGAAAACCAGAAACAGGCATTCATGTAAAACCTTTAGCATCTCTTGAGGAATGAAGGTCAAACATTTATCACTCCCCGTGAAGCCGATTTTTGATGGGAGGGTGTGCAATTAAGGAGGTGTGGGAGAGCAGAGGTCTGGCTCCCTGACTTTTTCCCTCCTCCGTGCTTTGCCCAGAAGTGGAAATCTCCGGCAATGTGAGTGAGGCAGGTAGTTATGCTAGTTAAAGAGGTATTGGCTTGATATGTGATGAGCAGACTGCAGTCTTGTTAGCATGGTGTGCGCACCCTCTCCCACTCTCAACTGTGTCCCTAACCTACCAGTTAAGGGCAGATAGCTGCACAGGGGAGGTAGATGCTGTGTAACGTACAGATGAGGTTATGCTGGCAAAAGAAATGGCATCTCACAGCTTTGTCATTGAGTATGGAAATAATGGAAGTGCGTGCTCCCTGTTGCTAATGGTGGCTGCAGTGCTTCCCTCCCACTTGTGCTGCTTTGGCCTCATCAGGCCAGTCAGTGGGAACTGCACTGACCTCAGCTCCCAACTCAAGAACATACTCCCACACCCAGATCTAAGTGGACAGTGAACACAGTGGACAGCCTCCTACTTCCCTGTAAAATGAGGCACCAGTGAGCTGAAAAGACCTGTTAGTTGGGCAACAGGAACTAGTGCTAAAACTAAGTTCCAGATTCCCAGGGGAAATTTCAGTCCCAAATGTCAAGTGTGTTGATACTCTGGTGAAGAAAGGTCAAGTGATCTGGGGGACAGCATGAGGATTTGGTCAGCAACTCTCCAATGAGGGGAATTTCCAAGGCTCAGGAGATGTTGTTAATGGGATTTGGTGGTGAACCAGACAGGATTAACAGACATTTGAATTGTGCATAAAACAACTAGATTAGGGTTGAGTTTTTCAAGTTTGGGGCTAGGCCTTTCCCGAGCAGATGAATTGGTGAGGTTACACATCAAGCTAGCAATGAGCTGAACTGACGTAAACTGATGTACAGATAAAGCAGGTGTTATAAATCAACCACAAGCTAGTAACAGATGAAAGGATACGTGGGCAGTTGTTAAAGCCAATGGAGCTGTCTCCACATGTTCTTGTTGTGTGACCTTTCAGCTAGTCTCCAAGTGTACAGCCAACATCCCTTCTGGGTCGTAACAGTATTGAAAGAGGAAGTACAGAATGTTCTGTTTGCTTGTGGCACTTTTGTTCTGTTGTTATATGGCATTTCAGAAGTAAGGATGCATTCCAAGTTTTCTTAAAATGTGCCATCTTCGCCTACAACTTTTTTTGGACATTGTGAGCAATGTCACCATTCCCTCGGTCTCCAAGCCAACAAACATGCATTGCCATTATCTGTCATGAGTACCTTGCAGGAGTGAAGTGAGCATACCTCTCAGCACCTACTTCATGAAGTAGCAAGCCTCATCTCATCAGCTAGCCCACAAGTTACAGACCCAGTTTTGAGCATCAGAATGGACTTGTCTCAGTTTATATTTTTGTTTTGTTTCTTCACATGGAGTGGGTGGACAAGTCTCAGGCTGACTTCACCCACTTGCCGAATCTTAGCACAACAGAGCTTGAATTGATTACACCTCATTGGACCGAGTAAAACTATCAATCCATGACTTATCTCACCACAACACCCAATACCATTTTAGATAAAAGTCTTGAATCTTACTCACAGTTTACTTCGCCAATGCATTGTATGTGTATTTCAGTGAAAACAGTCTAATCAATCAATTTCTCTTTGAATTGCAGTCATAAATGCAGGTCTACGTCGCTACTTTTTACAAGCCAATGATAAAAATGATTTACTCGACTGGGTTGATGCCTTAAACAAGTCCTGCAAAATTACAGTAAGTTTTCTCTCACTCAACGCAATGGCTACAGTTGTCAAGTGGGTATGCAGTTTGCTTTCAAACTTTGGGTGATGTCAGTCTGCTTCAACTCCTGCTACCTCTGACCAAAGTCAAACACACCAATCAGCTTGTCTTCTGAAGGTTCCAGAGAAATGTGACCAGGCTATTCACCCTCATCAACCTGCTCCACATTCAGTTACCACATAGCTGATCTGTTCCTGAACTGCATTGATCCTCCTTAGCTCCATGTCCTTTCATACCATGACCAAATAAAGAAAACAAAATCTATACATCTCAGCCTTGAAAGCTCCAATTATCGAAGCATCAGCAGTCAGGATGAACAATGTAAGTCTCTACAAAGACGTGAATGACCAGATTAAAAACACATTCAGTGTAGGTGAAGAGAAGAGACGCATCACATTTGTGTAGAGGCTGTTCTCCACAAAAGGCAATAGGGCATGTGAATACAATCAGAAACAAGTGGGAGGGGAAAGAATTCATCGCCATTATAAACAAACGTAGGCAAACCCAGAGAAGTTTGAGTGGGATGATGTGAGTCATTATCTCAGTTAGGTAACAAAATACAATCAAGGGTTCAGTGAACTATAGTGTGTTAGTTTCAGCCAGAGGTGGTCAGGTTAGAGGAGCAGCATATATCACGAGAAATTGGTGCCAGAAAGAGATATGCAAGACTCTGAGAAACAGTGGTCTGAGTCTTGGTATGTAGTGAATGATAGATGATGGACATTGTATTAATTTTATAATAGATTATTAATGAGAATGGAACTCTGGAACACAAAAGCAGAATTCAACAAGATACAGATAGTCTCATAATGGGTTCTAACTGATTGGGGTAGAATGTTGCCTTCAACCCTACTTTCAATGATGAAACTATTGGTTGGTCTGATAATTAGTCATAGAGGATAGACTAAAAAGAGGACACAGTTGCCTTATGTAACATGAAGGAGCTTTTTGTCTGATAGCATTGGTTACAAGTTACATTGGTAGTTAAGGCATAATGATGTCAGACTATCAGGAGCCAGAGATAACACATCTGTGTCCATTGGGACCCCTTGCTGAACTGCCTTATTCTTTACCTAAAGACCCTGTGACAGAATCAAATTGGATAGAGTGGGTAGAATTAGGTTTTTCATGGAACCATAATCTTAAAAACCCACCACCAATGTCCCTTTGGGAAGGAAGTCTGCAATTCTAACTTGGCTCCAGATTCACAGCAATGTGGTTGACTCTTAATTGCCCTTTGAAAGGGCCTAGAGAGTCAATCAGTTCAACAGCAATTAGGGATGGGCAACAAATGTACAGACACCACATCACATACAAGAATGACAATGAAATAAAGGTGTTTTTCTTGAGTCAAAATACTTTTTAACTTGGTTTACTGTGTTTCTTTTTGTGCAGAACCTAATTCTGAGTAGTCTCGGTTTCAGAAAAACTGAGCAGAATATCAATGGACAAATGCTGATCAGGAAACAACACTTTTCTCTTTTGATGTTTATCTCATTCTTCTGTCTTCACCAATAGCTCTTACTTCGAATTGTGCTTAGCTTGTGTTTAAAAGTTTATTTTATATCACACATTTCAAAATTCTCATTTAATAGCCCCTCGCCCATAAAACATTATTATATTGTTCTTTTGAAAATTAAGTGAGTACATAAACCTGATGAAATTTGAGAATATGCTTCCAAAAGACAATTTGGGGATTTTTATGCAGTGGTAATGTCCCTTCCTTAGAGCTATGAGGCCTGTTCCAGAGGTGTGTTGTAACATCTCTGAACTGGTTGATCAGGAAATATCTCCAGTAGACAGTTCAGAATCAAGTACCATATAGGTAAGGATCTCTTGCCTAACCATCACAGGAAGCACAAAACTGTTCTTCCAAGTGAAAGAAAGCTAGTTAAGTGCCACATGATTGTAGTGTTCTCTTCTATGTACATTTCCATTATTCACTAACAAATATGTGAATACACTACAAATAAAAACAGAAAGCACTTAAGAAACTCACCAGGTCAGGTAGCGTCTGACAGTGAGAGAAACAGAGTTAATGTTTCAAGCCCAATATGATTCTTCTTTGATTCTTCAGAGAACATATAAACTCAGCTCTCCACAGATGTTGCTAGACCTGCTGAGTTTCTCCAGTAATTTGTGCCTTTATTTAAGATTTCCAGCATGCACACTATTTTGTTTTTATTTGGATATACCACAGTTGGAGAAGGTCTGATGCTTCAAATATATCCAATTCATAAATTTATGGAAGATCTGTTTCTCTATCCATGCCCTACCCTATCTGACAGAAAAGGACTCATGGAGCTAGTCAAAGTCTGCTAAGTGTTCTGAGGTTGTTACTTGGAATTTGTGCGATGTTAGGGGCCTGTAGCCTGACTAAGTTGTGACATTTCATGAAGATGATACAGTACAGTCTTTCATTTTCTGTAAAAGCTAAGCTGAACATTTTTCCAAAGTTGTCCAAATTTCAGGATGTCCTTCATGTGGGCAAGATTTCAACGGCTTCTAATTTTTGTGGAAACTGAACAGAAGAATAATTAGTTTGAGCAACAACAGTGGTTTTGCATGGGACATCCACAGATGTTCGAGGGGTAGGGACACTAATTTGCTCCAGAATTGAAATGAACAATGGCACTGCAAGGTGGTTTTGGAGACCTCCCGAGATGATAAACTTGGCATATCTGAAACAACATGAGTGAACAGAGTAATGTCTCTTTTCCTCACTCTGGCTAACTGAAAGAATTACAGAGGCAAGTATGACCTTTCAAGGTATACGTATGGCTCTACTTATTTTGCTTAACGTTGACAGGTGCCAAAGGGTAATGCAAATGACCCACAACCCAGTGCTGAGCCAAAAAGACCAACAACAGAAGGCCAGAAGCAGCAGATCCCATACAAGACTGAAATCATTGGAGGGGTAGTGGTGCAGACACCCATCAGTCAGGTGAGAGTTATAGTTTCAGTCTGTACTTTCCTTCCTCTTCAAGATGTTGGAACCACTTTATGAAATGTATTTCTGTTAATATCCTTGTCTTTTGTAGCATGGAATTCACAGGCTGTAATGTAGGAAAAATAGTGCCAAGGCTTGCCACAATATGTGACAAAGGAGGAGAGATTAGAACTAGCTTCCAAAAGATATGTCAAGGGTATGGATTTCAACAAGGGCCTCAAAGGAGGAGGAGGGGATGGAGAGTTTAGGTAGGGAATTTCACAAAATGGAGTGTAGGGCAGCAGTTAGAATTGGGCAGAGAGAAGGAAGAGGCCGTTTGGTGAAAGGAAATGTTCTCTGAGTCAGATATGAAGACTATGGAGATAGCGAAGCCATGACTGGATTTAAATTTTCAAAAGGAAAGTACAACTTGGCTCTTTCCACTTTGTCCCAACGTTAACAGTGCCATACAAAGGTAAGGTTCTGTTGCTGATCTACAGTCACATCTGTCTTGCATTGTGTTAGGATCTCAGTCAAGAGAGAAAGAGCCGCAACTTGACTTTTTGACAGTTTCAGACTACAGTTCATCGTCCTGCAGCGTTAGGTGACAGTTTTCTCATATTTGGCACTGAGTGTTCAGGGCATGACTGCAAGAAAACTGTCATTGATATAAATGCAGAAGGTGATAATTTTTTTGTACTGTGCTAGGGTTATTTATGCTTTATGATGAATTAAGAAAGCCACAGTGTGAAAATCTTTAACTGCAGTGTATATTGAATGAGAGTAGCCAACGTTTAGATGGCAGTTTTTTTTTACTCATGCATCTCATGAAATAGGACGAAGTAAGGCAACTTTATGACTCATGTTTTTTACACTGTCTGATGAGTTTGTGGAACTGCTTCAAACAGCTTATTTATGGATAAACTTTAATTTTCTGTGTTTATCCTCAAAGCCCCTTAGTGTCAAGGATGGTCGTATCATTCAACTGGGATTGACATGAGGATTGCAGAACCAAGGTGGCTGAGTTGAGTGATGATGTCCAGCAATCATGGTTGAATTGAATGGCAGAAAGGGCTAGAATAGCTTAGTCCTGTTCCTGTTGTTGTAATGGAATTAAGAGTTTAATGATGACCATAAATCCATTGTTGATTATTGGAAAAACCCATCTGGCTCACTCGTGTCCTAAGGAAACTGCCATCCTTAGCTCGTCCGGCCTCCATGTGACTTCAGATCCACAGCGATGTAGTTGACTTTTAACTGCCCTCTGGGAAATTTGGGATGAGTAATAAATGCTGGCCTAGTCAATAACACTCTCATCCCATGAAAGAATTTTAAAAATCCTCTTCTTGCCAGGCAAAGCCGAACTGACTAGTGGTCTTTTCTCTCGTAAGAAGAAGGTTGAGTGGTAACCAGACAAAGATCTTTAGCATTTGGAAATGTTTCAATCAGGCAGGCACCAAACAGTGTAAAAATAAGTAAAATCCTTGTTCTGTCACTTCCTATCACTGTAGAGAAAATAAGCTGTCACCTTTTCTTGCAATCAGTGTCAAATATTAGAATCCCAGTCTCTCTTTCTGTCACCTGACAGTCTGGGACCAAAACTTGGGACCCTAAAAATAACATTGTCACCAATAAATACAATTTCAGGATAAACTTCTTTAGCTAGTGAGTGGTGAGAATGTGGAACTTACTACCATTAAGATGAATTGAGGTGAAGAGCACAAATGCATCTGAAGGGTAAGCTGGATAAGTATATATAAGGGCGAAAGGAATAGAAGGTAATTGCAACAGCACTCGATGAAGAGGCTAAGAGGAATGAGTATAAACATAAGCATAGTCCATTGGGGCCATATGGCCTGTGTGCATTGTTGTGGGTCTCCTGTAATCCATTACAAGATTAATAATCCAGTTCCAGTAAACTGTGGAAAACTATTTATGCTGAGATGCTGGATAATAGAACTCTTCATCTGTCTCAATTTAATGATATAGATTGTCAAATTATTTGAGCATCAGGAAAACTTTCACATGAACATGGGCCCGTAATTGGGTAAGTTCTTCAGCCTTTAACCTGCTCTGTTGGGCAAATGACCAGAAGGAAATCAGCATTGTTGAGCTGCTTTAGATTGGCTGACCAGGGATTTTGGGGGCAAGTGATAGGGAGCTGCTGCAGGGGGAGCAGAGAGGTGGGGCAGCTACTGCAGGTGAAGTGGGTATGAGATGGTAGTTCAGACATTTCAAACAATCTGTAGTAACAACTTAATGCATGTTTTTGATTGGTGTCACTGTATTTCCATATCGAGACGCAGTTGCAGCTGTCTGCAACAAGACGTGAATGTCACCTGCAGTTTTGCAACTTGAATCATTTATATTTTGGACCTCTGGGAAAGTTTGGCACCATACCTACCTCTTTGGCTAAGCTCCTCTTCATTCTTCCAAATATATCCATTTTTGTCAGATTACACCTGTGTTGAAGGCTTTATAAATTTGTAAGGGGTTGGAGAAGATCTGGAGGTGACCAACTAGACAGGTAGCTTGCATCCTTCTGATCTGTGGACTCCAGGTTTCAGGAACAACTGAGTTACTGCTGAGTGACAAAACAGACAGGCCTCCTCAAGATTTCCTGGGAGCATTGCCATTGAAGGTGGAGGACTGAGGCAGAGAGGCACCAGGGCAAACAAGATATGAATAAGTGTAAAGGTGAAGGGCCTGAGCTGGGAAAAGTTGACATGAACAGTCAATAGGCAACTCCCTCCAAGGACAACAAGCAAAAGCACATTTTCTCAGACTGTTGGAGGGCTGTATATAAGGAAGGAAGCAGCATCGTGTGGTCACCAGAGTGAGCTCTGCCCTCGTGAGCTCACAAGATTGAGGAACTAATCATGTGTATGTCTGGGGAATCACCGTGAAGGGAGAAACAGAGGATAGGCGAGTTTGAGATCTCCAACGATAAGGAGTTGCCCACAAGCCAAGCAGATCAGAGGAAGTTTCAGTGAGGCAGCAACATAAAGTTTACTTAAATCACACCATTTGTGCATCATGAGTAATCTTAGTCCCCCCTGGATTTGAAGCAGGAATTACCCGGAGGAACTGCACAGTGTTTTTCTTGAATTTGACTCCATAGAGGCTTGTTTCTTTTTCCTTTCCTCCTCTTGCTGAGCGTACCATGAATATTAGGTGTGGCTGAGCATTGACAGGTCTGATAGTTTCTGCTCCCCTTCCGGGACTGAGTGGTCATGTGGGACATTTCGAGATTTCACAATTTTGTTTCTTTGGCCAGCATTCCTCAAGAATCCTGTACCCTTTTGGGGAGGAGAGAATGGCCAGCCCTGTCCAATCCAGACCTTGCCCCACCCCCTTCTGTCTTGATGCATTATTCATCCAAAGATCACAAAAAAATGGATGCCATCAGAACTTTCTCACAAGTACTAAAATAACTGTCCAAGTCAAACAAAAACTACAGCATAAATTTCACAAGTAACTTCCACACCAGAGAGATGTTGGGTGAGGAGCTGCAACCCTTTCATTTTGCTTCTGAGACTACTGATGTGGTTGAACTCATGTTGCCATCCTGTGACATGGGTTAGTCGACAAGGTGGTTGGCCGTTGCTGATTAACTTCTGGTTCAGTTATCTCATCAGCCAACCCAGTCACTTGTGGCCACCGCAGCACTGAAATTACTAATTTAGAAATTGTATTTGCATTAAACCTGACATCTGTGCCACTCTTCCTCATTTTTAGAAAAAAATCTTTAACCGTTTGAGCACCAGAATACCTTTGACTGTTCTCAAAATGAGACACACAGAAGGTTATTCAAGCGCACAAGATGTCTGCAGGAATTGACTGAATGCCTGTTCTCCATCAGTTCTCCATTAAACTAGTGCATGTCTGGAATATTTAAAACAATTTAAAATTCCTGCAACACAATTATACTTGAGTGTAAATTCCTTTGGCAGTGAAAGGGTCATTAATCTCAGTCTGTAGAATCAGCCTGTGCAGACTGATTCTACAGACTGTTCGAGTTTAATGACCCTTTCACTGCCAAAAGTTCCAATGGTGTGGAAGGTAACTCTTTTTTTAACATTTTCAATTCACTCACAGACAATGAGTGCAACAATAAAGCTCCCCAAATGCTAGGAGCAGTTTAATTAACACGACAGTAAATCTGAGCTGCAGAAATAAGCACTTACATTTTAAAATCTCTATTTAAATTACACTTCAGCAGTTTCTGTCTGCTTTGCCTCCCCCACCCTGTCTTGCCTGTTTGTCTACTTGTCTTTCCTGCTTTCATAGAATTGTACAACACAGAAGAAGCCATTTGGCCTATCAGCCCTCTGCTAGCTCTTAGAATGATTTGTCTGACCATTTTCAGTCTTCAGCTATTTCTCCACAGGCCTACATAGTTTTTTTTTTCCCCTTTCGAGTAATTGTCCAATTCTATTTTGAAAATGACAAGTTAAGTTTCTTCCTTTTGAAACAAATGGTGTGTATAAGAAAACATCCTAGTCTCCTATTTTCTTCTGTTTAAAATAGCTTTCAAGCTCCATTTCCTAGCCCCTCAGAACATTTAAAAATGTTTTAGCAAGTGTTTTTGTTTTACTGTTTTTCATTTTGCAAATAGCCCGAAAGAAATAGCTGTCATTTCGAAAACAATCCCAGTGTTTGCTTTTTCAGTCACTCAGAACCAGGAAGTACAGACTTAAAAACAGAAAATATGTTCATTTGTAGGCTATGGTTATTTGTTTGACTAATGCATTTAATACAATGGTATCCTTTGCCCTCTGGAATTATTGACACATTCCAAGAGTACACATTATGAAATTGTCAACTGTCTTTTAAGGGATGAAATAATTAGATACCTTGCTGCAAAAGCCTATCATGACAATCATAGCATCATAGAATCCCTACAGTGTGGAAACAGGCCATTGGGCCCATCAAGTCCACACCAACTCTCTGAGGAGCATCCCACCCAGACTCATCCCCCTAACCTATCCTTGTAGCACTGCATTTCCCGTGGC